AAAATTTTAAAAAAGGGAGCCACCACTTACTAATGAGTTTAGGTGTACTGAGTCACTAAAAAGAGTATTTAATAGAAAAAAACGAAAAGCCTCTTTTAGACGATTCCAGTTTTTGAAAAAAAGAGAAAAAAAAATCGGAAATCACGGTTGAAGAAAGAAAAGGCAAAAATTCGATTGACTCGGATCTAAAGTACCATTTCAACTGAATCAAAATTAGTTGCAAGATTTAATTGAAATTTTCCTAATCTAATCTTTAAACTTATCGCATTTGGATGCTACTATATGAATGCATACGTAAATTTAAAAGGGGTATCGGAAGGGACTAAATGTCCTTTAAAGGTCTAGTTTGTATCAACGCATTAGTTGCAAAATCCAATAATGATCCCTTAAAGGAATCACGAGTATGTAAAAATGAAACTCAAAGAAAAGAAACAAAATTAAAACTTGTGTATATAAATATAAGTAGCCAAAGAAAAAGGAAATGTAACATAATGGATACGGGGGACTAAAACTCGTGAGACAGTTTCCTTTCTTATAGAGGTGTAATAGGGTTCTAAGGTTATGAAAGCAAATATTCTCCCATTTCCCATATTCAAAAGATGATTTTTCTAAATTAAACAAGTAGATGAACTAATTTATTTTCGAATTTTCTAAGTGAAATGCAAATCTAAATGATATGGTTCCCGAGAATAATATGACAAGAAATATCATGCAAATGAAAAAATGACCTAGAAATAAGGAAAATGCATGACAATGCAATAAATGGCACACAAAGAATGAATCTAATGCGTGGATAACTTAAGGGTCTAGTATTGGACTAACATATTTTTACAAGTTCTTACTAGCATCGGACTAATAAGGAAATGGAGGGAGAAGTTATAACTAGCGTTGGACTAGTGTCGTGATATTTCTCGTCCATACTTTATAATAAAACAAATAAAGTATGAATAAATAAACACATAAGAGTACATAAAGCACATACAACATAAGAATAATATCTAGATGCAAAAATTCTAATGAAAGTGGATAAAACATATAAGCATATAAACACATGAGTTACGTAAACACGTAAAACCTAACTATTATATTGAGGAATCTAATTACAATTTAAAAGGACAAATATAAGAAAATAAACATATTTTTTACATTTGTCATTAATCTAACTACAACTTTTGCAAAATATAACTTATATATTATATTTACGTATCTAATTATAAATTTTGTGAAAGAAAAATATAACTTATCGATTACATTTCAGGTATTCGAGTGCTCTCTAAATAATTATAAGACTTGAAATAAATAAATAAATAAACATAGAAATGAGCATGGGCTAAAAGTAAATAAATAGAAAAATAAAAAACACATAAAATACGTAGGAGCACGCAAGAGCTGGTAAACATTTGGCCCACTTCCTCATTCTATCAATAAATATCCCAAGAAATAGGAAAGGAAATCCAAGGAAACGAAATCAGTAGAAACTAGAAAGCCAGCAATGAAACGGGTCAACATGGCCGGTCAAGGAGCGGCTAGTTTTCTAGCCATAGTCACCGGAAACTGAGAAATTTTGGCCGAAAAATTCACCGGAAAATCAGCCTGGAAGAGTTTTTTTTTTTTTATAGGAATCAAAAACTCTTAACACTTGATAAATATGTCTAGTACCTTGGTATAAACCCAAAATCATCAAGTTTGCATAAACAAAACTCCAAAGTCGTGAACACAGAACTCACTTTTTACTCGTTATTTCACAAAAACTTTCAAAGAAATCTTAGTCCATCCCCACCAGAAGCTTCACAGAGCCATATATGGGAAATAACATTATTCAAATGCAAACAGAGGCCAAAACCATCTGTCTAAGAATCCACCATTTTCGACATTTTTGAGGTTCAAAGGAACGGGTTTCTTATTTTTTGTTCATAAGTCCAAGGTTTTTGGTTGTAACATGCTGTTAGCTTCCAAAATAGAGAGAAATGAACATGAAACTAAAGTGAAAATGAACATACGATCAAACACCGAATCATGGGAGTTGGTACTTTAGCTTGCCTGTCAATTTTACTTCGCATAACTAAGATTTGAATTTATTGGAAATAAGAAAAGAAATGAAATGGCATATATAGTTTGTGACTTTGAATTGCTAGAAAAGTTTTAAGCTGCATTTCTGTTATTTCGAGAGAATTTTTTTTCTAAGTCCTAAATGGTGCCAAAGGTGCAGCCAGTTCAAAAGTGTAAAAACTTTCTAGACTAGTTTCTTGCTTTGAATTCATAGTTTGAGGTCCCATAGATGAGTCATGGTCATTGATTTGTTTTCACTGCATTTGACTGAAATCCAAACCCTTTTTAAGTGTGATCCAGAAAAATTATTCTGATCACTTCCCCTTTAATTGCCAATGCTGTACTAAATTGAACAGACATTCTCAGTAGAAATGTGGCAAAAAAAATTGTGTTTTCTTGCAATAACTTGGAATAGTTCATCCAAGAAACTGTCCGTCTTTTTTTTTTTTCTTTCTCTTTTTTTTTTTTTTTAAATAAATCCAGTTGCTTCTCGACAATAGACTTGATTATGGGATTCTTTAATCCTAATATTTGGTTGTTCTTAAGTTACAATAATAACTGAGGAGTTGGTTTTTATTGCTAACTGCTATTAGGTCATCATGTGCAATAGTTTAAATAATAATAATAAAAAAAAAGAGTCTTACTGGCACGTCAAAATGGTAATAATATAATACTTTTTCTAGTCTAACAAGTTTCGTATCTATCAATTTTATTTATTTTTTAATTCTTGTTCTTTTTTGGTAGAGCAGGAAAGCAGTGGAATTTTTAGTGCAGAGTGCGAAGATTTGATGTGAGTTCAAAATGGATAGAAACAATTAATTAGGTATTGAAATGAATGGAATTAGTTATAATGAATTCTATATGGAAGGAATTGGTATTTAAATCATTTTGTCAAACGAAATATTTTGCTCCATAATGATGTTTTAGATAAGTATCTAATGCAGAAGAATGATTGATTATTTCTATTGTTTGTGGAAGAAATAAACTGTCTAGTGACCCATAAACAATGTGGAGAAGTGATCTTTCATTGATCTGCCATACAGCTCTTCTGTGCAGATCCCCTTATCATCAATGGACTCCTGACATATACGAAGGAGTGCGGTTCGTCCGAGAAATTCCTACCTCTCTATCTATCTCTGTGATGTTTGGATTTTTCAAAACTCCATGGACATGTAAAGAGAAATGCTATCCCCACTCAAACCAAGACATGAGGCAGGGTCAAGATCTATTTTGTGATAAACAAATCTATTTTGTGAGATCGTTATTATGGGTAGTTTCTACAAAGGATCGGACTAATGACGTATACAAAACTTGAATTCTTGATGTAGATATTACATAGTTGGTTTTCATCCTTCAAAGACTACGAGTGTGATAGGAGCATCCGTTAACAAAAGAATTACCCTAAGATGATCATCTCATGGCTATTGAAAATGAATTAAATCAAATGGTTCTATTTCTCAATCTTTTTGACCTGCTTTGCTCCTACGGAACCAAGGTCGAAAAGATTGAAGTATGTTTTCGATATTGCTTGCACTAATTAGGGATGTGGTCATGTGTTGCAAAGAGAATAACGGTGGCATGTTTTGAATGCTGTTAAGAAGATTAATAAGTGTTTGGATTGCATTTTCCATGATTTTTCATGGAAAAATTACTGTAGCGATTTGATGTATGTGAGGAAAAAAGGTAATAGAGAAATGTGATCACGGAAAACGACGTAATTTTCCGACGGAAAACGGCAATCCAAACAAGGCTGAACATTTAATTTTGTGTCCTAAGGTGGAGATTTCAAAAAGGCCTTGTAGAATTTGTCTCCAGAATGAAGTTTAGATACGTTTTCTGGTTTAAATGTTGAACGTTTAATTTAATTTGATGGATGCATGACTGCATGTAACTAACAGTAATTGGGAATAATTCTTCAAATGTGCTAAATCTGCTTTAAACTGGATACATTGGGGGACTAAAATTGTTGTTGTCAAAATTTTAGGGATTAAAAATCCATATGGGCTAAATGTTAGGGACTAGATTCGTTTTTACTAAAATTTTAAGGATTAAAACCATACAGGTGCTGAACATTAACGATTTGTAACACTCTGTTTTCTTGTTTTCCATGAAACTCTTTACAATTTAAAAACGTTGGTCATACCAGCACCAGCTGTATATAATTTTCACAATAAAACTCCAAAATTTATCCAGCAATTAAAGCAATACAATGGTATGCCAGAAGTAACTGAACAAAACAGCCAAACCTATGACACAAAAAACCAAAGTACAATGACAAAGGAGTTGGACCAATAGTATGGAAATGAAACCAAATGGTGTTTGCTTTTTCCCTTTTTGTCTTGCCTCTTTTATCTTTTTTTTTTCTTTCTTTAAAGAAAAAGCAAAACCAAAAGCCAATATAAAAGGATAATATATGTGAAAGTAGACAACAGATAGATGAACATTAAAAATAACTACTAGAGGATAAACAGAGGAAAAGAAATTAACATATAGAAAATGGAAGATTACCAGAGAAATGAGGAAGAGTGAGGCCTGTTTGAGGTTTCGGTGTTTTTGGTAAAATAGCACTTTTAAAGCATTTTGTAAACGTCATCCCAAAAAATTAGAAGAGTAACTTTTGGTGTTAAAAGTATTTTTAACAAAAAGATTAAACTTGGTGCTTTTAGAATAACTTTTTTATTTAAAAAATAAAAAATAAAATTTTAAAAATAAAATAATAAATTTAATCATTTTATCTTATATCATGAACTAAATAAAGAAAAAAATATATTTTAAAATTACATATTATCCAATACAATAAGTATTTAATAAATTATATTTTTAAATAGGAGTATATTTTAAAGTACTTAATCACTTGATAGTGATACGCACTTTGATTAAATATTCTATTAGGAAATTACTTTTTAATAAACTATGCTGCCCAAACGTCCAGAAAAGTACTTAAGCGCTTTGAAATTTGCCTGAAGGATTCCAAATCCTCATCAGCTGAAGAAGTAGTAGCAGATGATACCGATGCAGAGAAGATCTTCTTCTGCGGTAAGGGTTTCCATTGCTCGGTCTCAGGAAGCAGCGGCTTCATTAGGTACTACTGCTCCTGCAGGTGGAACTACTCTTGCATCATTTCTCTCTGCATCCCCAAACCATAAACCCCATTTGGCTTTTTATTCTGCTATTAGTAGTAAATTTAAGAGTTCTTCTGAAAAAGCTCTGAAATTTCAACCTGAATTAAGGAATGATATTAATAATGTCAACAGTCTTGATGATGCTTTGAGCTTGTTCGAGCGGATGGTCCGGGTGAGGCCTCTGCCTTCTGTTATTCAATTCAATCAACTGCTGACTTGTATTGTTAAGATGAAGAATCATTATTCTTCAGTTGTTTCCCTTTTTAGAGATATGTGTGTCCAGGGCATTCCTGTTGATGAGCGCACCCTCAATGTAGTGATTAATTGTTACTGCGTTGTGGGCCGAGTGGATTTAGCTTTTTCTACATTGGCTGGCTTCTTCAAACGTGGTTTTGTTCCCAATGTAGTCACCTTTGGCACTTTGCTTAAGGGACTTTTTCGAGAACAAAAGGTTCCTCAGGCACAAGAATTGTTCAAAAAGATGATCAAGGAAAAACTTTGTAAACCCAATGAAACTATGTTGGCCATTGTGATAGATGGGCTCTGTAAGGCAGGAAACACTCAAATAGCCATTGAATTCCTCAGAGCAATGGAAAAACGAGGAAGTCCTTGTAAACCGACTGCAATTATTTATAATACCGTCATTGATAGCTTGTGCAAGCATAAAATGGTTGATGAAGCTCTTGCCCTCTTACAGGAGATGATTGAAAAGGACATTCCCCCGAATGTTGTCACTTACAGTTGTTTGATTCAAGGTTTCTGCAGTTTAAGTAAATGGAAGGATGTTGACAAGCTCTCTGCGGAGATGAAGGTTTGTAAAATTGTTCCAAATGTTATTACTTTCAATATAGTGGTGGATGCACTATGTAAGGAAGGGCATATAGAAGATGCTGAAGAGGTAGTCCAGATCATGATCCAGCAAGATCAAAATCCCGACCTGGTCACATACAGTTCCTTAATGGATGGGTACTGTTTACAGAGTCGAATAGATGACGCAAGTAGAGTTTTCAATACCATGGTTGCTAGTGGCCTTACACCCGATCTCCATTGCTATGGTATTCTGATAAATGCCTATTACAAGACCAAGAAAGTGAATGCAGCCATGAAGCTCTTTCGAGAGATTCCACATAAAGGTTTAACACCTAATATTGTTATTTATAACACTGTGTTGCACGGGTTATTTAGTTCAGGAAGGTATCTTAGTGCACGAGAAATTTTCAAGGAGATGCAAGCTTCTGGCATGAAGCCTGATTTTCACACTTACTGTGTGGTACTGGATGGATTATGCAAGACTGGACATGTCGATGAAGCATTGGAGTTATTTCATGCAACTGAAGCCAATGGAACAGATCTTTACATTGAAATGTACAATATCATGCTTGATGGGTTGTGTAAATGCAGGAGGCTCGATAGTGCCGGAGATCTTTTCAAAAATCTCTCCCTTAAAGGATTGGACCCTGATGTCATAACATACAACACCATGATTGCTGGCCTGCTTTCAGAAGGTCTGCTCATCGAAGGCAAAGAGCTCGTTGGAAGAATGGAAGAGAAGGGTTGCTTGGCAAATAGTGTTACATACAATGTCATTCTGCAAGGACTCCTTAAGGGAGGTCATTATGAGGACGCATTGGTGTATCATGAAGAAATGGTTCGCAGAAGATTATCATTGGATTCAGCTACTTTTTCCATTTTGCTTGGTTTAGCTACTGAAAAACAGAAGAATCCTTCTCTACTTATGTTGATGCTGAAGATTGATCCTGATAGCAAGAAGTTTATGGATGGGAGATAAAGAGGACCTTCACATTATTTGCAACTTTTGGCGCTGCAGTTTTTGGCACCTAAACTTTTGTCTGCTGGAACTAAAACTATTTGAGTTCACTTTTGAACTGGGTATTGGGGGAACTCCGTTGGTCATATTTTTGCGAATCCCTCAAAGATCTTTGGTCCTGGCGGAGGAAGCCACGGTCCATATGGAAGTTTGATTGATAATTGTAGCAGTTCATAGAAATTCTCTGCTGTTAATTGGATTTCTATCACTTCTTCTGAAAGACTTGTTGTTTATCCTTTTGTGGAGAACCTCAATATGGCATATCACTTAAGAAGTAAATTGTGAAGGCTCTTTTTCTTTATTTTTCATGGTTTTAGTACTTTAGCTTGCATGTAATGTTTGTTTATTGGAATTAGGAAATGAAACTAGATCCGGAAATATAGTTTGTGATTTTGAATTTATTGAAAAGTTTCAGCATTTGTATAAATTGGAGAATTTTCTTGTAAGTAGGATAAAATTGTTACTTTCATTTCAAATCCTAGATGGAGCCTAGCAGCCAATTTAGAAGTGTAAAAACGTTTTAGACCATTGTCCTGCTTTGGATTTAAATTTTGAGGTCCCATGGATAGTCATGGTTATATATGAATACATGTTATAATTGTTTATATATGTGCAATCAGTTGTTCAGTCAATCTTTAGCTTGGAGGGAGTTAGAAAAGGGTGACGAATATACTTAAGGTTATTATTCTGCTGTATGTACCATATCATATCTGCATTTTTTCCCTTAGCTTTTCATTGTTAGTAAATTCTGAACACTAGAACCAACCCTGCTGGAGTTGTCCAACTACAGAGAACATAGAACAAAGCCTGTCAAGTGTTGTTTTACTGAAGCTGACATTCGCAACTTCTTTGACAGTAATATTAATCGATTACTTGAAATAATATTGGTGTAATGGGCTGTACTAAAAGGCGTGGGTTGCTACATTGTGTTTCAGCTGCTAACAATTTTCCTGCAATGGCCAAACCTTGTTGCTGATCTTTTATATCTAGTTCTTACTTTCTTTGGGGGTTTTTTTTTTTTTAATTTTCCAAAGCTGTTTTTGAAGTTATTTATTTTCTCACTTTGCTGCATTTTCCTGATTAAAATGTAGAAGAAGCCCCCTTCTTTTCGCATGTACCAGTTTCAAGACCTGTTCTTTTCTGTCAATGTAATTTATGTTGCATTTTTTTGTCACTTGTCCTCAAACATAAGTTGGGTGATTAGACCATATTTGCGAGGAAGGTATCTCTATGAAATGGGCTTATGAGCAAAGTATGTGCAGGAACTAAAGATATGGCTTATAAGTTGCTTTGGCTGCTACTAAGCTGGATAATTTTTGCATGCTATTCATATTAACCTGCATGAAAATGCTTTTCTAATCTTATGAATTGAGAGATTCAGTCGCTTTTTTCTTTTGTTAGTGCTTGATATGTTAATTTTACTGTCTGTGGAATATGGATGCTCTGTTTTATCATCTGTTTTCTGGTATATGAGATGCAGATTTCAGAATTTTTATAATGCAACTGAAAGGCAGGTCTCATCTGTTGTGGAGCAGGGGATGCAATTGTCTTATGCACTATGATACAAACTATCTTCTGAAGACAAGGACATGATATTTCTCGGGGAGGATGGTGATCCTGATGGCTATTCACATTGAGTTACAGTCCCTGGAGTCAGGATAAGGTTCCACGGTATGTCAAAGTTAGCATTATACGGTATTCCACTTTTTTGGCTCTGATCCCCTTATTAACTGTCATTTAAATGCTTGTACGTTAGTTGAGTATAAGGTTTCAAAGATAAAAGGGATAAAAGGAATCAACCATTTCATTGACATTGATATGCTTCTCTTGAGGAATTTTGCTTGCCAAGTTTTAGATGTCTTCATTAGGAAACGAATTTCCAGGCTTCGATTGTTACTTCCTGAACTTCATGTTATATGGCCAATTTGGCTAAGCAATACCTTTGATCTCGAACTGTTGATCAGTAATTTGTATCGAAACGGCAAATTAATTCATACGAGAACAGCAAATCTGTACGAAATTGTATAATATTCCTCTTGTTTGGAAATGATTGAAGGACTATAGATATGCTTTGGAATTTGATAGTGATAGCATAAATTTGTCCACACATTCTAAAGTGAAGGCAAAACAAATAGAAGTTTGTAAGCATATTTACAAGAATAAAGATGTACTAGAGGATTCGAAGTTAGGTCGATTGATATCGGGAAAATGGTCATGTATATTAGATCTAAGTTTTCATTTTCTAGTACTTACAAATGTTAACCTAAAGTAAAAAACATATTTCAAAAAATAAAATAACTGAAGTAACATTATTTTATGTTCTTATTCCTTATTTTTGAAACAAATACATATCCATGCTTATGCATGGGTTACAAACTAGTACTACTGCTTTATGCCTGTTGTATTTGTCCATTAGATATGGAAAACCAGAACAGAATTCTAGAGGAGGGCATTGACAATAAGCTTGAAGTCCTCATAACTTATAGCTCCATCTCCATCCCCATCAACAGAAGCAATAATACTCTGGCAATCTTGAAGAGACAAATCTTGTCCCATATTTTCCACAACTTCAAACAGTTCTTCACCGGTCACAAACTCTTCCCCCTGAAAATCCAAGGCTGCAAAAACCCTCCTGAGAATAGTTGAGAGGCCACCAAGTCCAAGGTCCTTGGTGTTCAAATCAAGAAACTCTGTAATGCTTAGCAGTCCATCTTTGTTAGTGTCACCTTTTTGCATCATAGCCTGAATATCTGCCTCAGCTGGATTGTATCCTAGTGATCCCATGATCCCACCAAGCTCTGCTGCAGAAATTTGGCCATCACTGTCAGCGTCGAAAGCCCGAAAAGCCTCCACCAGCCTCAGAACATGACTAAGCATATCAAGTTCAGCAGATAGAGGCCCCTCTTGAGCCATTGGTGAATTTTTTTGAATCTATCTATGTATTGCTTCAGATTTTTGTATACAAATAGAGACAAGAAAAAGGAAATAAGATGGTCTCGATGAAAAAAGTATGCACAGCTTGATTTATAAGTTCATTGCCACATTTTGTAGAGGGAAAATGTTAGTGCTGGTCAATTTCCAAAGTTATTCTTCATAATCTAGTGAATTAAGTTATGGCCAAGAGGGTAGATTCTTATTCTTTTTAGATAGGTCAATTTCTGATTGTAATTTGTATTCTAGAATATCTCCAGATTCCAAGCAAATCAAGATAGAGTGTGCTTGAGTTAGCGAACAAAAATCATGGCGTCCACAGTTTCCAGTAATCGTGGGACCAATATTCAAGTTTTACGAGATATATTCCTTCTCCTCCTGCCCTCCCCCTTCCCTCTCTCAATTTGGTCTCTGGCAATGGAAGAAGAGAAGGGGAAAAAGAAAATGTCGGACCAAGTTGCAAGAACAATCCACCTTATTATGCATCTCTTCTAAGAGGTTGCTGCAAACTCATATTGGTGGAGATTGACTCTAACAAAGGGCATAAGCTTGGTCCCCCTTAATAAAGTGATTAAGGGTGAAATCTCAGAATTTAGATATTTTGGGTTCAAATCTTTCATTTGCCTTTTTCAATTCTTAAATCTCACCGTTTCTCTATTGATAGGGTAAAAAAAAAAGGGAGAAGCTCGATTTGTCGAGTCTAATAATATATTCTAACATTAACAGTTGAGGTATGGGATATTTTTCTTTTGAGCTTTATTGGTGACTCGCAAAGTTGAAGCATGGAATCTATTCCTTGGCATATGTCGGTAACCCGCTTATACTAAATTTATGGAGGAATTGTTAGCATATAAAGAAGCAGCGGAGGATAGTTGACATGTGTAAAAAGTGTGAGAAGAGAAATATAATAATTACAAACACGTAAAGCACATCTTATTCTCGCATCCAAATCAGAATAAAATTTTAGGCAAAATTGCCTTTATAAACAATCAAGACGCTCACTAGTTTTTCGTAATTTCTCTTTCACTCCTCTCAGTTGAATACAATACTCAAACACCTTATATCTAACTTTTGAATACAATACTCAATAATTCGAAACTTTTGATTTAGTTATGCCAATAGAAATGAATTTGGTTCATCGAAATGAATGAGAATTATGAGTGTGATTTTTTGAAGTGTCGAATTGTCACTCATATATGCATGCAATATAAATGCAAAGTGTGCAAACAGTTACTGAGAAAATGCATTACATCAAACTATCAATTGGCTATGTGGAAAGACATTGGACATTAATTCTTGATCATATCCCTATATGTAAGCAGTGATGGAGTTAGGATGTATCATCAATTGGGGCAATATTGTAAATCTGATATGATGCTACTATGCAAAGGGGAAAAAATCTGATTTAAGATTATGCTCTATTAAAGGAAAATATATTTTCTAAATTTTGGAGCAATTATAAGAAAATTACAAAAATTTGTAAAGATTTCTAGCCTACTCTTTAAATATTTGCAAAGTAGATATGAACGTGGATGTACATGCTTAAGATTGTAGCACTTTGTCCAATCTCTTTATATGTATCCTAGTAATCGATGCACACTTGGTCTGTGTGCACCCAAAAAAAAAAACATTTGTAAAAATCACATTTATGAATTTCATATTTTGCAAAAAAATATATATAGGAAATTGAATATAATAGAATTTTGTAAGTGGATGGTAACTTATAACATGCTATTAGTCGTTTAAGGAAAAAGGAGATTATGCAAAACCAAAAAAAAAAAAAATGATAGAAGATCATGAATGAATTGAATGAGTGGAAAAGTTCAGCTAATTCACAGTTGTGAATTGAGTACCAATGGAGTTAATGTTTACTTGTAGAGGCATTCATATTCACAATTGGTACGGTTTTTTTTTTGGGGCTAATCAAAGAGATTAGGACTACTTACCTATATATTTAAAGGGTGCAATTGGAAGTTTAAAAAGTGTCGACGGTATGTTAATATTAAAAATTAATACTTTGCTATATATTGTATAGACTAGTACTTAGCAAATCCGATGCGTCTGCACCAAATGTTTAAAATACTACATTTTTCAAAATCATTTTTGTAAAATTTAATTTAATATTTTCAAAATAAATATATAGAAAATGAATAAAGTACTTTTTTTAGTGGAAAATTATACATTTAATGCATAATGAAATGTCTAAAAATGGTAGAGGATCAAGAATGAATGATTGGAGAAGTTTAGATAACATACAGTTGTCAATTAATTAGTAGTAGGGTTAATGTGCAATTGTGAAAATAATAGTATTCAAATTCAAATTTAGCATGTTTTTAACTTTTTTTTTTGTCTGAATCAAAGAGGTTAGAACCTCTTCACCCTTAAAAATTATTGGTACAGGGGAAAGTTCAAGGGGTGACTATGGTGTCTTAACACCACAAAGTGGTACTCCAAATTCATAGTTACATATAGATATAAATGTACATATATGGGTGTAGATTTGTAGATAACTGTGGTATATAAAGAATAAGAATTAATCTTTCCTACACTAACCGTGTATACGATGTCAGTGTTAGATGAATGATAAATATACAAAATTTAAATTTAAAATTCAACTTTTGCGCATATATCATTAATCCAACGGTGATAGTGTATACACCATCAGTTTATATAAAATTTACTCAAAAAATATTCTAACTTTCAACACCAATATCATCCTCCAAAATCAATTAGGATCCAATACTCTTGGACACTAACCGAACTAGAATTCTGCTTGAGAGAGGGGTAAAAACGAAATGTATTGCAATAAGTAATTAGTTTTCTATACTTGCCAATATACAGGATGCCTATTAATTAAAAACTACAAAAAGTACAGCTCTTCATAAAAAAAAAAAACAAAAAAAAAGCTTACAAAGAGAAATTTGGCAGATACATTTTTCAATATAAGTTCCAATTTTTTTTAAGGGATAATTTCAAAAACCTCCCCTAAGGTTTCTAACAATTTCATTGACCTCCCCTGAGGTTTCCACAATTACACTGACCTCCCTTGAGGTTTAAGATTTTTATAACAAAATCAGCCCATGATATCAAAAGTGAACATAAAAAAGTGTTTTCAGGAAAGAGAGGAAAATTTATTCCCATAAATGCCCCTGAGGTAGGTATACAAGTTATATTAGTGAATTAATGAAAACTAACAAAAACCAGAAATAAATTAGAAAAAGTAAGGGGATGTAAGTGAAATAAGGAAAAAGAGTGGCATTAGCATCAGAAATAAAAACCATAAATAAACTAGAAGAAGCTTGGCATTAGCACCATCTGGAACAATACGATGCTCTTGTTTCCATTTGACACAGTTTGGTGAATTCTCATTTCGTGCTAATTATGATTTTTTGGCGACGAGGAAACTTGAACCTAGCATGACTCAAAGCTGAGATGAGCATGGTGGCTGTTAGCATCCTTGCAGCATGCAAAGAGAAGTACCTGACCAATAGCAACACGAGCACATGTTCCTTATGGCTTCCCAAAAGCACCCCTCATACCATATTGAAGCCTATCAACTCCAGCAAATTGAAAACATCTTGTTAATATGCAGGACATGGAAAGGGTTAACTCTAACCCTCAAATAGAATGCGTCCTTCCCAGCATACTTAGTCATGTACTTGTTGCAAGCAGTACAAACAGCCTCAAGTGCTTCACTAGAGACATTCTCACTTTCCAAGAATGGGAACTCATCAGCTCCCTTCTTTTTCATGCCAACATCATAGATCTTGATCTTTGGATCTAGAACACTACGGCAGTACCTTGACTTTGGATAGGATTTATTTTTTATTTTCAACATATTATGAACCAGCATTAAGAAGGAAGCCACTTTCACTTTAAGCATCAATATTTAAGGTGGAAAAGAGTGATTTGTTGCAGAAACTAAGGTGGAAGAGAGTGAATTGAACAGGTTCATGAGCAGTGCAGAAACTAAGTTAAATAAATAGAAATGCAATCCAAGACTATCCAAAACACCATCTGCCTTAAAGCAATTCAGGCAGAGGGTGAGGATTGCAAAACCATTGTTTAGTCATAGTTTCACACAACACCATATACAAAAGCATGAATAGGCAGCATATTAATGAACTATACTTCACAAAGCACCACTAAGCACAAAAGAAGAGAAATGTAAGCATAACAGTAGCAATTATAAATGCAAGCTAAAACTACTGCTGGTGCTAATATTGGCAGAGTTAAGAGTTGCAGCTGCATTCATGCTAACAGATGTAGCAGCATGAGCATCACCAGGGGCTTGAACAGGAGCTGTTGACAGATGATTAGTTGGTTGAGCAAGTTCTCGTGCAACTCTTCTGTGAGAACCTGTTGCAGCATTTGTCAAAGTAGCATTTGAAGGCCTTCCTCTCTGCAGTTGTTCAAAATAGAAGAGCTTGTGCCTTACTGAATACATATGGAGCAGCACTAGAATGGATTTCATAATAAAAGAGCCCGTACCTTTCTTTTAGAGGCAATTGTACCTGCCTATACAATAACCTGAACATTTGTGGTGGCATTTCCAGTAGACGGACTTGAATTCCTACCTTTACTTGAATGCACAATAGGCACCTTTCCATGTGCATGATCCTGTCATAACAAATTTACATGTTAAAGTAATATGACTAGGTAACACTAAGGACTAATTGCATAATTCAAACATGATTTATACCCTGAGAACAGATCCTTGCAGTCCTAAATTTGCAATTCCTCTGCCTGGTTTCCCTCTTCTAGTTGGCATCTGTCATGAAGTAAACAACATAAGCAGTTGATGAGTCAAGAAAGAACATTTAATTTGTACAAATATGTGTATGATGATACCTGTTGAGCATGAGTATTAGCTGGATTCTTTCTTTGCACAGGAGCTCTTTGACATGTTCTCATGTTGTGACCAAACTAACCACAATTTTCACACTTTAAGATACTAGACCTTTTTGGCTGAGATGAAGGTCCTTCATCATGTTCTCTTTTTCTGTTAACTCTTGGTCTACCAGGAGCTCTTCTCAAAGGAGGGGGCGATACAACCTTAGGAGTAATTTCATGCATAGGAGGCCATATCTTTTCATAAGGTATAGGGTGAATCATAGAAGCATATGCCTTCAAGTAAATGTCTTTGGAGAACCAATGATCACAGTAATCTTCCAACTTTTCCATTTTGTAGATATTGCCAAGTGCATCATGTTTGCAAGGAAATCCAACTAATTGGAAGCCACCACGGTCACAGGTCCTTTAGTTTAAATTGACTATGAACGATCTGTCCATATCATCAACCTCAAATGTATTATCACTTGCCATATTTAG